TTAAAATCTCGACAACTGGACCTCAGGGGAATGGAGTTATCCTGAAAAGGTATTTATTAAACTAAACCACTTCATCGTGGTACGTACCTTCGTGTGGCTTAGTCATTTAACAACGTGAAGCGCTGCTATTTTTTTCACCTGGGCTTCCCTATGTGTGGTCACATGACCTTTCTTTTTACGATCACATGGCCGCTGCAGTGTCATTGATTGGACTGCCTGAAGGGCACTACAATTGGGCCTGCGTTGAAATCAGGTTAGTTTCAGCGTCTTGAAAGCCAGGATTACACAGTTGCAGCTACGTTGATTTATGCAACGTGCTTGTCCTTGTCAGAAAAGAAATGAACTTGCGATGACTCCTAACCATAATGTAGACTTCCGATACTTTCAATGCCGTTTGAAGCATTTTGGTAGTGGTTTTTTGAATCAGAAACTTCAAAATAAGTGGATGTAATGGTGCGGGCATTGTTCGAGTTACGGTGGTATTTTTGTACATAAAACTTTAAGGCTTTTAACCCGAGACGTGATCGGGTCCGCACCTGACACGACCAGCGCTCACCATTTGTGCACTCCATGTGAGTTCCGCGTGTACGTGGTCATGCAGCATCCGGGACATTTCCTTTGAGCGTTTGCAGGTGCGTATGTCATGTAGGTGGTTTGCAGCTCTGTTCTCTTTTCTAACGTTCCCCGTGAAGATTTGTTTTTCTGTTTCATACACCCATGAAAAATTTGCAAACTGAAGGTAACAATTTCGTTTGATAAAAAGGTAGGAGAGATTAACTCCGACGTTTAGAATAATGTTCTGCTTGCTTCCTATGTACCAAATAGAACCGTGTTTCGGGCACATGATCCACCGGGTCCCGCGCAATGCCATTTGTTATTAGGCGATCTCTTTTCCGGGTACCCGGGTACCCGATGTTAACAAAAAACGGGTACCCGGTTCTAAAAATACCCGCGAATGCACACCCCTACTGACTGGATGCATGCGCTACATGTGCAATGCACATGTGCACATGTACCTCTATGTACAATACATGTGCTATAAATACATGTACATGTATTTACATGTATTTCGTGTACATGTATGTGAATTTTGTGTACATGTACATGTATTGGCAGATGTATGTACCACAATTTTCAGAATATATGCCTTGTATTCGTTTATCTTGTGACACCGATAAAGAAAAAAAACAAATTCTCTTCAAAAACTGCCTTGGGACATCGTGCATGCTGCATCGCGGCACACGCACTGCATCTGCACCAACTGCAACATCCTGACTGCTACTGCGTACCCATTCATGGACAGTCCAATTGCTGACTTTTCCCAATGACCATGTGACCACAGAAAGTGTTATGTCATTAGAAATCCCAAGTGAAAACAGATCGGACATGTCACATCAAACACGATCGGCGAAAAGATGAGATATACTGCACGAAGATACATGTCCAATTTAAGCGGCTGATTTTATTTATTGGTAAAAAGAAACCTTTAGGTAACAAAATACTACATGTACAGTAGTATCTCAATGTTGATTATTGTGTCCTAAACTACATGTACACCACAAGAATAAATAAAAAGTGCGAAAATAATCACTACAGTGTCGCCACAGCAAAGCGCTGCATGGATGGCCGGCCAAGTGAGTGTCTGCACTCTGTGTGATCAGTAAACTACTGGTGTCCAGGATGGCCGGCCAATCGCAGCGGCCTTGCAATGCAGTTTCATATGCACTGATTTTCAAAGAATCTGATTTTCCAAGGTAAAGAGCGTTGTAACTGGAATTATATTGCATGCTTTATATGCTTAATAGTTGTTCACGGTGCCTGCTGCTACATCTTGTTCGAACCAGCCAGCCGACACTGGCAAGCTCGGTGGTCGAGTGGTTAAGAAGTCTGCACTAGTCAGCAGGAGGTCGTGGGTTCGAGTCCAGTATGTTCGTGGTTTTTTCACAAGCCTTCGGGGACACACACTGAGTATATAATGTTAAAATACTTGTTGGGCAGGGCAAAAATCCCAAAATAATTTACATTTCCCGGCACAAATCCATCTTTGAAATGCTTTCTGGGAGTCAAAAATCGTGAGCGTTATATCCCAAAAAGCATTGTGACCACAGTGAATAGGCGTGCAGTTGGAGAAATGAAAATAGAGCGTTATATAAGAGCTTTATATCGAGGAGGGCTATAATTGGAATCTACTGTAGAAGAGAACGTTCGACCTAAGAGAGCCTTTAAGAGGCCTGGCAAGGCATGAACAGAGGGGAATCAGAGAAAGGCATGAATAATGAAAGGTGAATAAAAAAACACTGCAGCCATAACGCATCTCCAGTTTTCTATCGTTACGGCACTGCAACTGTGCAAGTGCGCCAACTTAAGCTCAGATTTCGGACCTGATTTCCCTTTAAAAAAAATCCTCCAAAGCCTCCGATGAGAAAAGCAAAAAGGTTCCTGCTTAGGCCTATACAATTAGAAACCAACAATTATGGTATAAAACATGAAATTTAGGCAAAAAAACCCCAAAATTGGTCTAACGCGGATTCAAACTCACACACCAGTAGTTCCAAACCTTCCAACTAGACCACTTGGCCACAAGCGTTCAGCGATCCAGGATATTTTAAAATATATATTATAAACCGTCATGATGATCAGCTACACTAGTATTGCACTTGCACAGTTCAGTGCTGTAACGATAGAAAATGGGAGATGCGTTACGGCTGCCATAAAGATAGCCACTTTGTTTATTTAAATAAAATGAAAAGTGAAGTTGAATTTCCAGTGAAAAACCAGAGGCCAACCTCTTCCCAAAAGTCAACCCTGTCAACAGGCGGCGCTATTTCGGTCAGATATTGCACCGTGGCACTGTGGTGCTTATTTTTAATTTGGTGTAGTGCAACCACAAATGCTGGCCAGAGTCTTAAAACATGGCTGATGCTCTCGGCGTAGCTAATAACATGAATAACCAGGCTATGGCTAAAGACCAAAATAGAGATGTTCACCAGAAAACCAGAGAAAGCAAACTTACCACACTGACGTATGACGATTACGGAGCACAATTTTCCCTCCGTTTTTTTTCTATGACCTTAAAGTTCTATGACCTCAGAAATAGAGGCTAGTTCACGTTTATTAATAATATTAGTTATTAAGCCTTAACTTGTTCTATCAAAAAAAGATTTATCAATCTCTTCTCTTATATATTGAAATTAAAAATTTTTGGTTGATATTAAAGCTTACCTGTTGAATACTGTATAATTAAAACTTAATTTTAAAAGATCATTGCAAAGTTGAATTTGGAAAAGCCTAAAAATATGGCCGCCTCCAACATGTCGCCTCCAACATGTCCATCGACTGAACAAGAATAAAGAAGTCATACTGTAGGTCAATACTGTGCATAGCGTGCATTGAAACGCTCTTTCACTGTTTCCTCGGCCACTGTCGGGACTTAGGCTTAGTTGTCGATTGATAAAGAACGTGATTTAAATGTAATATTGGACTAGCTGGAGTTCAAGGCAAGGCATGCTTGTGTTGTGTGTAAACAAACAAGTCATGCAATTACTCATTACTGAGGCGTAGTCATTGTAGTAGTCATACTGACATGGCTGGCGTATACTACTACAACTAGGGCCTAGGCCCAGAAGTAGTACGGTCGGGGAGTCCACATGGCATGCGTGGGCATGCTGGGCTAGATCATAGAGCAAGGACACAGACACCCAACAATCAGCATTATTCAGTTATGGCACCCTTTGCTTGGGTTAAACTTTTAAGTTCCCTGCACGGACATGACGGACATTATCTCTCTGCACAAACTAGTATGAGCTGATGAGGATGAAATTTTGACATGTTTGAAGTGGTTTCTAAATTAAATAAACGCCTCAATATTTTCACTGCTAAATTTGACTTAGACCAGTAGGGTTTCTTGCATTCTTTGTAGCCAATTAAAATAAAGAACTGTCTCTAAGTGCTGTCCACCCACAAAGCCGCAATTGACAGTTGGTTTGAGCGATATGGTTGGTCATGATAAGCCGCCTCATGACAATGGGTTTGTGAGCTAAATAAAAAGCAATGCCTTGGAACCAAGTGGAATGTGAAACCTTAATGCTGTGTGTTACCGCTAACCTCATGTACATGTACAGTGCATAGTCCTATAATGAAATTACTTCTTACTTCCTGCTTGGACAAATGTTTGAAAGAATTTGCATATATACAGTTTGGAATGTTACCATATTTGGACAGGATATTATAGCACAAATCTCATGCAATCTGACCAATCACAAGGCCTGTTCTAGCAGACCACGACGGATTGTGGGTGGTTCCATGTTCAGGGGTGCTTGTCGTGAACGTTGAAGCTTATGGAACAAAGAACATTGACACAAATTCTGTGCAAAAATTTGACTGGCTGTGCAGAAATGAAATCATTACAGACTTCAACTACATGTACACATTCAAAACACGTTTGCACCGATGCGATTTTAAATTCGTTTTTGCCAATTTGAGACATTAAATATTAAAGTCGGACAAAACTCATTGAGTAGGGGCAGAGAGAAAGGCCACTGTGCTCATGTGGTAACACTCCTGATACAGGATTAGTCCAAGTAAATTAGCATGATTAGAACTCTACTTGTCGCTTGTTTTCGAACATTTGTGTTCAGTGGCATAACTAAGGGGGCACTTGAGGCCTGTGTCCAAAATTGAGTGTGATTCTCTCTTTTTTCCTGCCCTGTACATGTAGATGGGTCACAGTCATAGCAGCGGTGCCAACAAGCACGGCAGTCTGTGGGAATGGCGAGACTTTGTCTTTTCACAGGGACATCTGCTCAAGCAGTTGGCTACACTTAAATATGCAGATTTTGTCCAGGCAGTAGACAGTCTCAACACCATGTGAGTGCGTAGGGGCCATTTGCACAAGTGTATGTCAGGTTCATTGTAAATGTTCAGGTTTTAGACTCTTGACAGTGGGTATTGAGAGTCTCAAACATAATGGAAGTTGTTCAATAAAGTCATGGTAAAACACATTGAGATAGGATTGAGCTGTGGAAAACTCCCTCACTTTGTATCTTATTCTATTTTTATTCAGTCTTACAGTCAAATCTAGTATTCCTCACTGTCATGAGATATAGAAGTCATAGTGTTTTTCAACAAGAACTCCATGATGGGAGGCTGAGTCACTTTGAATATTCAACTAATCAACCATTCATTTGATCACACATTTAAATATTAAGTTTAATCACATTCCCACAAAACCAGAAATACAAGGAAGTGTGTTTTTTTCTGGCAGCTGATCACACATCACTTTTTTTCACAAAACAGCCGGCACTAAACAGTTGTCATATAATTGCCCCATTCCCCAATCGAGAGTGAGTGCTTGGCCCAGTGGTTATCAAGTTGACCTCAAGAGCACACTGTCACAGGAATTCCCCCCCCCCCAGCCACTCTGGCAAGTTGCAATTTGTGTCATTACCCAGAAAAGTTCCAAATATCAACCTTTCATTGTTTTAAATCAACTTCTAAGCTAACTTGCGGGATATTGTACTTCTTTTTTTTCGTGATCTGTGGCTCAATCAGAAGGAGTTTGTAAAAAGGAAATAAATTCCAAAATTGCACTACATCTGTATGCAATCTTGTGCATACAAATTTACAATGACAATATAAACATGGTACATGTTACTGTAAGTCCCGAAAATACTCACTTTAGATGTTCATTTTACAGTGCTGGCAAAAAGCCAAACTTTACTGTCAAATATCCACTGTGGAAACAAAATATGCATATATCTTCAGAAAGTAAACAAGAAAGACTTGAAAACAGTTGAACAGTTGGCCTTATTCTTTGGCATGATACAGAGTATGTACAGCAAACGTCGTTAGAGAGCACTACTAATACAAGATTCTGCTTATAACAAGGCAATTGTCGTCTGTTTTTCATTCCTGATAATAAAAGGTTCCTGTTATAACAAGGTAATCTGCCAAGTCTAAAGGACCTCTTATTAATGAGGTTAAATTGTACATGTGTGTCAATATATTCAGCTCTGTTGAGTTTACTTGCAACGTCTTGAAATAGCTTTTAGAATGCAATTTTATATCCAAATAACTGAGTTTTTCCATTTATTGTCTCACAGATATTCATGTTTATTTGATTTTGAAAACAAATATTCAAATATTTAACATTTAATCAAATATTTTCAAATAATCAAAACAGTCAGAATAAAGTGAAGTCAAAACTCAAGCGGACTTGACTCTCTTTATTCAGCAGCAGTGTCAGGTGAAGTCTGTACTCCTCATGCTTGAGTGATTCCACTAGAGTTTGTATGCATACATCAAGGCTCTAATTACTGGCATAGAGGCCTTGCGTTGTAGCCATCTTGCAGGGAATGTCTTTTATTCCACAGGGAAACTCCTTTGTTCAAACCCTGAGGGACAAAGCCACTTGTCTGTAAGATGGCAGCCATGCAAACCTTCTATATGCAGTGTGTGGAGGTTTGGCATGTTTGAAGCTCTCAAGCAATTGTTGCAAATATCACTCCATGAAGTTGCCTTAGAGTTTCAAAAAGTAGCAAAACAGCAAGAAATGTTTCATAGATCTTAAGCAAATGACCACCAAGGGTCAGCATTTCTAAAGTCTAAGTGCGATTATTGTATTTTTTTGTTCTAAAAGTTGGTACTTTGGGCCAAAAATAATGTATACCGCACCTGGGACAAGTTCTTTTTAACATTGAATGATACCATCAGCAAGTGGTTACAAAAACACTTATGGATTTTCAAAAGAAGAAAGTAAGTGACAGCAGTTAGTTTTGTTTCTCTGTCCTGTTTGTTCAGTTCCAACACATTAAGCAGCTCCAAAGGCAGGTACCTCATCTTCAGCATCATTCCAGGGACTGACTGCACAACAATACTTTGGAAGTCTCGTGTCAGGATTCAGTGTTGCAAGGTATGTCTGTGCATTTTGTATTTATTTGAGGCTAGAAACTGTGAGAAGGAACCAGAAGAGGTAGTCTGTACCCATCTGCCCGACCCCCTCTTCTTAGAATTCCCCATTGATAAAAGAGAGAGATACATCTACTTGTCAACCTGAAGCTGTTAATAGTATGACAAGGTTAATTTCAATTTTTTTTCAAGCAAATTGATTATTTTCATGCCATTTCATTTTTTAATATCTCTTTCTATGCTCCCCTTTTTTCTCTTTTTTTGGGGGGGGACCTCTTCCTTCCCCCTCATCTTGACACCCATGGCGATTCTCCTCTCCAGAAGTCAAGAAAAACTCTTTGTAGATCAGTTGAGAAAATGTCAACTTGCCACATTAAACAAATGTATGTGTCCATATTTGTTATTCAGTGGTGGTTTTGAGAAATTCCTTGGAATTGGTTGAGTTACTCCAGCATGTTTTCTCTCCTTCTGAAATGCTGCCTTCTTACCCTGGTTTTGATGTACCCAGTGACGTTAATACACCAGATTGTGCCTTGTTTTCTGCAGATGATGTATGGTGATGACAAGTGTGAATCTACGCGGACAATGACACTCCGACAGTTCGTGCAAGTCTACGACAGTATCATGCAACAGTGCCAGAGTATTGAAGATCGACTGAACACAAGCGAAGCCTGCAAGGACGCAGCATCAGGAGGTGGTAACGATGACGCGGCGAGGTGTACGTGCGGCCTGGACAGGGCTCCAGAGGAAGAAGCATCAGGGGCAGAAGGCAGGGAGGAGCTAGGTGAATTGGAGGAGGATGACCAACCACAGTCAAGGACGCCAGGTGGTTGGCTGGAGGTATCAACAATATTTGCAACGTAGGTTTCCTCTGGAGATGTCATTATTGTTTTCCGACATTTTACCCTATTTGTTCTAAGAAAAGCGATTTTTTGTCAGTGAAACTGTGCCAACTGTCCAATGATAAACCTGGAATGTATGCTTTACCATAATTTTAGTTTTTACCTAAGTTTTTCATTCAGTTAACTATAAATAAACAAAACAAACCCCTGCATTCCTTCTCTCCAGAAAAAGGAAATTTTGCCAACTTTGTGCTATAGAAATTCATAGCTATTGCTAAAGATGAATACACTTATAAACATAGAAATATGTATCAGCAGAATCTTGGTTGCAAGGCAAACGGAGGGAACAGAAGGCATTATGACACATGAACTATTATCACATGGCAATCACTGTAGCACCTTTGTTAAGTGCAAGGTTATGATCCAAACATCTGCATTTTGCAACCAGGGCTGTTTTTCAGTACTCAACTTTGTCTCTGTCTCAGGCTTCATCCGTTTTTTTTGCCTCTTGACTTTGAAGTTGTTAGCACAATAGTAGGTCCTATAGTGCCACAGGAACATCAAATAAGATGCAAAAGAGCAAAGCATTGTGGTACTGCAATTTAATCTCAATGCTTCAGGTCTACAGTCAGGAAATAAGTAACCCATGCCACTGTATTTGGCCAATTAATCCTTGTCCTTGTGTGGCTTTATTGGCAGTGTGGAGCAAGTCTCCCTTGAGTCCATCGATGAAGGGGATTGTTGCATTTGCATGGAGAAGAAGGCCGACATAGTCCTGAGCTGCACCCACACCTACTGTCAGCTGTGCATTGAAGACTGGTGAGGCATCATCCATGCAGGCGTGCCTGTGACAGTCACTTGCTTTTGCATGTTACCTAAACTTTTGGGCGATTATCAGGGTGGGATCCAGGGAAGGGGGGGCATGGAGCACACTGGGAGGGTCAAACGCCAGAGCGCTGTGCAAAACCCATGACACAACCCACTGGAGTCAATTTAAAATTCATTATCTTGCAGGTGGGAAGAGGGGGCATACCCAATGGGCCCCCCTCTAAATCCACCCCAGATTATGGTTACATGATATTCCATTTTAAACAGTCGCTTCAGTCCAGCTTTCTTTTCCATCCTAAACTGTTGCAGGAGAAAGCAACACAATACCTGTCCCATGTGCATGGATGACATGGGCAATGCCAAAGACCTGTGGGCACTCCCGGACAAACCCGACGCTGACGAGATGACAGCTTACCTGATGAGCATCGCTGACAGCAAGGAGCAACGAAGAGGAGGGAATCCACAAGCGAGCAGGCAGCAGGTGGAAGAATGGGAAGCGGTGTCGTTTGATTGAGTCCAGCGTTTCAGTGAGTCAGTGGTCATTCAGCACTTACAATGCAACGACTGCCAAATAAGTATTAAACGGCAGCTGTCAGCCTTCTGTGTCTTCTCATAAACTCCATTCCGGTACAGAAAGTACAGCATTGCATTCCTTGCATGAGGGTTATGACTACAAGTGAATGCAATTGGACATCGTCCAAACTGTGATGACCGGTGAGCCGTGAAGGCTAATAGTCTTGGCAGCCAGGCAGCAAGACATGGTTGTCTGAGGATTTACATGTACCTGTAGCCATGCACACATGTTGTATCGCAAAATCTGGTCAGGAGCTACAGGTTACCATTTGAACTACCAGGTTGATGAGCTGACATTGTCCACCACAGTGCTATCGTAGTTTCAGAATATGTTGAGATATACTTAATTTGTATATTGGGTAGAGATATGATTGACCACAAGACTAACAACCGTGCACTGTTGTGTTTTAGAGCAAGTGAAGATGAGTTTCCTATTGGTCAGTGCCGTTACACACGAAAAGTTAAGTCTTATTGGATACCGAAGTTATTACCAACTTTTTGGGTTGTTATGAAAAGGTGGACACGATTGTGAGCTGCATGCAACAATGAAGAGGGCTTTCTTTTGCCTACTTTTTCAGTATTACTCATTAGAGACGATCGTATTCTTACTCTGATTCCCATGCCTCAAACTGAATAGTGACATTCAGGTGTATGTCTTACATGCTCTTCGACCTATCTTTGAGCAGTTTTGTTGAGTTGCAGTGTTCTACTGGCCGTAAGGCAAGAACATGTGCATGCAATATGCCTGCCAGTGACACCCAGCTTGGCACCACAGCAGTAACCAAATTCTGGTTGTCAAATAAAGACCCAAGATCTTCTAAGAGAGTTTTGAGCATCCGTTTGGAAAGTGGTTACATTTCATTTGTAAAGAACACACTTTGAAGGAAAACAAAATTATCAAATTTACAAAAGTTTTACCTTGAGTGGTCTGGATGTGAGTTGTACGAGAAGGTCTTCTAATTAATTTTTAACTCAATAAAATGCAAGACAATTGTTTAATGAAATCAACTCATTCAGTCCGCTGTTGCTTTGGTATTCTCATCTCCTTTTTTCTCTAGTTCTTGCTGAATTTTTAATTGCAACATTATTTTTGGAGTAATCCTGTACAGAGACACCGAAGATTGGCCTAGCCACAGGTGCTGCACATTTGTGATAACTATCTATTTGTGAAATTGTAAAGATTTGGTATGTAATACTTAATTTATTCACCCAGTTGTGTATGTTATTATGTTTGACATGTATCAACGATATACAATGTAAATAGTGTATGACATTGTGTGTTAGTTACATGTACACAACACAAATCTTTGTAACATTAGTTTTAAAACTGTATCGAGGTTATCCATGTAGGTAATTGTAAATGATCTAAACAAGTTTGATTGTTCAACACAACAATTTTTCAACAGTCTTAGCTTCTATCTTTTATTATATGGTAACTTAAACATGTATAAGTTTTAACTGAAAAACATGTAGTTCTCAAGAAGTTTAGTCCACTTACGTGCAATAAGCCAGATAGACATCTTTGTATGCCACATATGCTTGCTGCTGTTTTCTTTTTGTCCGTTTGTTTTGTGTTTCCTTGCCACATTTTAATTATATTTCAAGCTTTAAATCATGAAGATATATGTTTGTAATATGATCTGTTTGTTTGTTGGGTTTTTTGCTCGCTTGTTTTTTCATATATAGGAGGGCTCCATGTATAATGCAATCATGGCGGCATGTCAAAACAAACTCACTTTTCTGTGTCAAGTTTTGTTGCCTTTTTGACAGTTTTGAGGCATAAATGATTACAAGATAAAAACTGACTTATTTTTCTAAAAATATTTTTTAAGGCTTGGGTTTGTTGAAGGTTATGTTAAACATAGAAGGGTCACAACAGACAAGTTAATCTGTAGCTAATCTGTTAACATCACTGAATTTTTGTAGAAATAAACTTGAATACCATCCCATTGAGCAAAAAATCCATGTTTTCAATCTTTACACATATATGAATGTTATGTCTCAATATCATATAACGGAGGTTTAAAAGCAAGGTAATGTAGGCATTTATGGCTAGATTTATTTCCTGAAGTTGAAGAAAAATTGCCTCAATAATATGACGTGATTTTGTTTCAGTCCGCCCATTGGCCATATCTCTCTTTCTATTGCTTTTTGTCCCAAGACCGTTTGTGGATTTAAACTTTCCCCGTTAGTTTTATCCTGGTTTTTATGGTTGTCCACACCCATATCCCAGGCAAGAGCTCTTCGCCGGGTGTTGCAAATTTAAGCACTCGACAGCAGTGTGTGGCTCGGCGTAACTAGTGCTTAATTTCCGCGAGGCACCCGCTGATGAGGTGCACGAATGTTTTTTTAAGCGGCATCACAAGAAAATGAGCTGCTCCGTAGTTACGTGGTTACGCCAGTGTAAGTCAACGGCAGCAAACTGGCAATCCATCAGCGACTGGAGAGGGTCAATTCTGAGGTATTTTCCAGCTTTTTTCGAGGAGCCCCATTTTGTTCAAGTTCCCACATTTGAAGCAATGCCCGTGGTTTATTAATGGAAAATTAGGCTCGTACTTCTGGGCCGGCGGGAGTATACACGTACTTGAAGCGTGAGCTGGCGCTAGCATTATTTTGTGCATTTCGGTGTAGACCTAGGCCTGTCTACTGCATGTACATGTACATTATCAGGATGAACGATGACCTTCCTATTATGGCATTATTCCAAGCTAATATCGTCGGGTAGGTACTAAGAGGTACAGTATTGGCTTGAGTAACTGAAACTCTAAATGCTGGTGAGCTATTCATTTATTAACCACGACCATAGTCAGTATCAAAGATCCTACGCGGCGCTATGACGATCTTTGTTCAGAATTTCCTGCATGTTTATGTAGGCCTACATGTACATGTACATACATTGTACACTGTACATGTTCCACTCACTACCTGACTACTAGTACTATACTGGGGAATAGGCCTGCAAATACAATGTACACACTAACGTGTTCAGAAAGAGCTGCGTTATAGGGCTTTGCATGTCATGCAGGCGAACACACTTGTCTGAAAAATCTAGGCCTGAACTGTTTGCTAAGTAAATGCTTCAGAATTTTCTCAGATTAATTTCATGTTTTGGGGCATATTATCGCTTTCTGACAGCTGTTAGGCCTATAACATTTTAGGCCTAGGCGTGTTTTATGGTAAAATTTGTGTTATCCATGTAATATAGAACTCATTCTGATTATGACTAATGTCTGTAGACTGGGACCATATGGTAAAATTGCCAGGTCCTCCTCATTTCGCCACCTGTTGTTAAGTGTCTTTGGTTTTCACAGTAAGTGGCGAAATGAGGGACCTATGACTTTACCATGGATATTGTCATGTACCCCCAGAACTGGCGGCTCGACGTCTGCTGTGCTCCCATGTTGGAGAGTGGTGAATGTCTATAACCCTGCAGTTCTTGGGTAACCGTCATAGATGTTAATCAACTTATCTAGAGGGCGTATAACTAGATTAGAGACTACATGTAACTATGATAGAGTATGGAATTGTGATGTCATTTTGAACCAGGAAGTGTAGTGCAAACGAATGGAGTACCCATGTGTGTTGGTTCATGGGCTGCTTCTTGCGCTAATGGCTTTAATTACACACATGTATGCATGACATACACATTATCTTTGGCACTCTATGCTATACAATTACGGGATGAAAATCACGGGATGTAATTTTGCGTGCGCCATATCAGTGCAGCATTCAGTGTGAAGGTATGGATGGCATGAACCATGTAGGACTTGCAAATCTCTAAATTATCAGATTTTGTAGTTTATACATAGTCTAGAGAAGACTTACACTTTGAACCACATAAATCTGAGGAAATGTTTCATGGTTTTGATTTGGGGCTGTTTTTGTAAGAGAGGGTTGCATGAAAACTACATTCCATCCCCTGCCTCTGAAAATTGTTAAGTCAATATCGTCAGTGGTCTAGACAGTCAGTTGCCCTGTGGCGTTGGCCCACAAGCCCAACGCATGCACAGTCATGTCAATTTGATGCACCATGAAATTTACAATGTGGTCATCGTCATGCGAAAAACGAGAAATTGGCACATAAAAACTAATTTTGAAAAAAAGAAGTTTAATTTCATATCTAAAAAACACTCTTCAGCCAATTTTCAAGAGTACTTCATGCCTGTACCTCAGGACAGCTCTCATGGGATTCTTCTTTTTCATTTTCAAAGGAGGTGGTGACTAGTGAATCACTTGTCTGAGAACTGCTGTTCACTCCATCCTTGTCACAACACCTGCCATTCTCCCAGCCTTATGCCGTGCCAGCTCTCCTCACCTCATCACATCTAGCAGCAGTCGTTGTTGTAGTTTTTGTTTATTATTGTCAAGATGTCTGCACCACCTGCCTCTAGTAGCAGAGATGGCGCTGGGGCAAAGTCACCTTACAGCTTCACCTTGCAGACAGAGGAGGTAGATGCACTAGGAACATCATTTCAGGTATTAATTAATGTACCTGTTTACAGCTTTACATACATTGTATGGATCTCATTTATTCATTCTCAATTTATTTCATTTATTCATGCCTGCTGGCATTTGGATCACTTACCCAACACTAAATCAACTAAGAAAAGAAATTTAGGACAGCAAAATATAAAAAATCCAGCAGCTTTTGCGCATAGATCAATGTAACATTTAAACTTTCTCCTGGAATCTTAACGATGTTGAATTAAATGTTATATCCTTCCGTAATATTGTACAATGGCAACATAGATTCAGATAGCACCAACAGGGATATCATCAGTTTCACAGATTTTGCTAGGAAGGGGCTGACACGTATTTTAATTGTAGACAAAAATACTCAGCAAGTCAGCAGGAGCTTGAAAGGATCACTCTGGCTAATTGCATTGCACAGTTCCAGTTAGGTAAAAAAAGGGGAAAAAAACAAATTAGAACATGCAGGACAAAATTACTGTAGGCTGTCAGAGATTTGAAGGAAAAGTCTAATGGTATTTCCATAGTGCCAGCAAATTGAAGCAGAAATTTAGAACACCCAGCATTTGACAATCTGTGCCTCAAATCTGCCTTTTGGGCATGTCACCCATTTTTTATCCCTGGGCATGGAGAGGGTTTTACAAGCTAGGATTACCCCTAGAGACTATGAGAAGGTGTCAATTCCCATATCAGCAGTGTATGTTCATGTTCAATTCATTGGTCTGTTGGTTGTTCTGCACTGCACTGTACTCTCACACTTTTCATTAAAGGATTATTATTAACGTTTTTTCCCATTCCTGTGTAGATGTACCGCTAAATTTCAAAAATCTGCCTTTTTGTTGATACATGTACATTCACATTTGTATTTTTCCCCTAGAAGGCACCACTGTGTGTGATTAGTTGCACCTTTGTTAAGGCTAAGTCCACTTGAATAGTTCAATATTCAATTACTGGACCTTCAATTTGATCGAATATTCAAACATTCATGAAAACCAGAAACTAAATAGTCATGTTTCTACAAAAGTGAACAAAAGCAAATCTTATTGGAAAAACTCATTTTTGGCGTCACTGTTGGGCCTGTGCATACATCCAGCTCCTTTAGGTTTACTTGTACCACCTTAAAGTATGCTTTTTGAATAGAATGTTACAACCATATGCATTGTAAAAATGCATTTCCCCTGTCTTTATTTCATTGATTTTAGTCTCTGAGTATTCAATCTTGAAAATGTATCTTTGCATATTCATTGTTTGGTAGGTGGAATATCCAAATATTGGAATAATTGGCGCAGTCCTAGTCTCAGTATTCCTTTCCTCTCCATAACTGCAGGTGGTGTATGCTGATGAAGGGTCACCAACTGATCCAGTCATTGTCTGTGTGCACGGGGCACCGGCCACTCACAAAGCGTACAGACACGTTGTAGAGGGTTTGACATCAAAGGGTTACAGGGTCATCATTCCAAACATGCCAGGTACAGTTTCAGTTTGTGAAAAGCGTGCACCAAAGAGAGCGCTCTGTAGCCTAGCAAGGTGACAGGATGTATGAAACATGTACTGTACATGTACATGTAGGCTGCATCTGAATCTGTTGTCTAGAGCTAGATCTAGGTCTTCCCTCTATTGGAAATACCATACACAGAGACATGCAGACAATAGATCTTGCCATACTCTCTTGAGGCCCATTTTTGGATGTGGCCTACGTTTTTCTTGAGTTGTAATGTCGCTTGACAGGCAATATGTACAAGAGACACTAAAAATAGAGGCTGGTACCCTGCACCTCCAGATTTAGAATATATCGCAGACTTCAAGCCTGACACAGGACAAGCCGGAGAAGGAAGCCCTGTTGCATGTACTGCTACTGTTAACATACTTTTTTGAGAGAAGGTCTTGTACATGCATCGTTGACACTGAGTCGCTATTGTATGTACATGTACATTACAAGAACATGCAAGGTGATAATCTGATTGGGCAAACTATGCCTATATCTTTTATGAGATCATTCAAATATGCATACAATATAAGCAAGGTAGATATGTTTATCTCTCCCAGACCAATGCAGTGACATTAGGCAAGACGTACATGTACAATGTACAGTACGTAAATACTGGAATGGAAAAATTAAGCAGTTGTGTGAATTTCGCTTCTGAAGGGATGGGCCTGACAGCTCTTGACCCAGATGGAATTTACAACCACACCTCCGAACACAAGGCTGAGGTCATTAAAGGACTTCTGGAGAAGATTGGCATCAAAAGGTGAGGCCTTGTCAAAAACGCACAAATTGACAATGTACTTTGAATGTAGTTGCACAGTTCACTATCTGCTTGGAAGCCTTTGAAAGTCCATGCGCATGTGCATGCATTGTGGATGCAGCACATGTACAAATGTACGTGGGCCTACATATTAGGGCAAACGTTGTTGAATTGAAAGATCAACAGCGGCATAGTTGCCAATGTGGCTGGAATTCTTCAGGCTGTTTGGTAATACTAGCTGACCACTCCCATGAACTTTTGGGACAAAGTTCTTTTCGAAATCAGCACAATGATTTCTTTTTCCGCTCCATCATTTTGACACCATTTTCGGGACAATCAGATGTATCTTCTTTTTGCAAAATGCCTATTTTCCTACGACAGGTCGGCCCAAAATATTCACCTGTTCCATGTAAACAAGGTAAGGCATGATAACCAAGTCTTGGATTGACCTGAAACTTCAGAGATGTACTCACAATAAATTTGTCTGAATTCTGGTTTGTCTGTCTGGTTCAAAAAGATCAAGCATGAGCTGAGAACCTGGGGAGGGAATCACCCTTCCCCTGCCCCTCCCCGAAGACATGTGCACCTGTATTTCTACCTTATGTTTGATGTTTTACATGACATATATTTGGCAGTGTCTATTGTTTGCATCAATATGAACCCTAACCAGCTAACCCTCTCATTCTCAGCAAAATGTAGCAGGTGGAAAATTCTGGGGTTTTATTTTTGTAAAGGGTAATCAACAGCAGCCGAACATACTGGCCATGTTGAGATAATGGGAACTGGCCCCACTGACTAATGTCACTGTTAGATCTTGCTGGTGGCTGGCAACCACAGACTCCCAGGCCACTTGGCCTCTAGGGACAGTAGACCTGTTGGGTGTTGTTACACTGGACAGGCAAGCCACATTGACTAGTGATGCAGTTCCATGCATCTGGCTGGGTTTTCAGCCAAAATACTTAGGAGGGTTTAGGGTTGAAATGAATCTTTGAAATAATGCAAATGTAACATTGAAGGATCATTGCTACATCTATAGATATTCATGTATTATGTAGTCACAGTCATTCCCAAGCGGTTGTGAGTGACCAAGCCCTTGTTACAAATTTGCTCGAGGCTAAGTGACCAAAAGCACAATGCATTGGATGCATTGAAAACATACTCTTGCCACCTGTGATCATTTTGCCCACAGTGTTGCCACAGTAGTGGGCCACTCCATGGGAGGTCATGTGACTTGCCAGCTGGCTGCGGATCCGGCATTAGAGGGCAGCATAAAGTCAATTTGCTTGCTATCTTCTGCAGGATCTCGACCACACAGGTAAGGGAGTCTTCAAAAATATGTGTGAATGTACTTTTCCACAGTAACACTTTGTTCTGGTATTATACCAGCAATCTGGCTTTTCTTGTACGAGCAATTCCTTGATACTGTACACCCATAAAGCTTACCACTGAAGATATGAGTACCACTCATCTAGAGGACTCATACCTCTTTGTCACTGCATTTTTTCATTCACTCTTCCTTAAAAGTAAAAGAATGTACACAACCCAGGTCGCGGTTTTGAAGATCAAAAAACATGGGCAATTCTATGAAAGTGCGACATATTACCACAAGGGATAAAATTTCAAAATGCGTTTTCCTCAAATATCTTTTTCAAAATTGTTAGGATTTTTTTGGAGTTTCTAAAAATAATAAAAGTTTTAGGCCAATCATTATTAAATTTACAGCACTCTGAAGTTGTGTGCAATTTATACACACAACTAGAAGAACAATACACTACACTACAATGTATGTAAACAGATTGTGTGTGAGTTCAAAACACCTTAAAACCATTGGTAGTCACAAGCAATTCCAAACCTTCATTGTGTCTTGACAAAAAAGTACATTAAAGTCCTTGTCAGGCGTACAGGACAAGCAGTACCTAAAATACATTGACTTTCTGTCATTGGCTAAGAAGGGATGTAATTCCCATGATTTACCACAAAAGGCCTTTCTATTAGAATTTCTGGCATGCGTGTTGGTGCATGGAGATACATGTATATTGTACAGCCAGTTTGAAACAACACAAAACACATGCTTACGTCAGGATGTGACAGTTGTTCTTGAGTAAATAAACGTCCGCTGGTCTGTGAGGCTCTACTAATGGAATTTGCACTCTGCAATATTTCTTCCAAACCAAATGCAAAGGTACCTCCTGTTTCAATTGAAGTTTGGTTGAAGGGGACTTTTCTATCAACCTGTCACATATCCATGGCTCATCTTTATTCCTAACAATCTCAAATTTATCATTAACTGTTCAAATGAACTATGACAAATGCACACTGTGTACCTGAAATTCATTGGTCATCCCTGTAATTACCTATGACCAGACTTGACCATATGCATGTAATTGACTGGTGTTTTGACCTGTTACTGGAGGTTGATTTGACATGTGATCAACTAGGGATTTGACCTCTGAATGATTGGTGATTTGACCTGTGATTGAGTAGTGATTTGACCTGTGATTGATTAATGATTTGACTTGTGATTGACTGGTGATTTGACCTGTGATTAACTTAGAATGGACTTGATCACAGCTGTGCTGACAAGAGAGGGCAACTGAGTTCAAACATTTTTCCAGATTGCTGATTGGACCCTTAACCTGACTTGTGAAGTATTTGGCTCTAACTCTGTTGTGAACACAGGGATATTAATAGCTGGGATGGCATCAAATATCCAGGATTTGTTTGCTTAAATCCAATTTTCTGTCAAATTTAAAACTGAAATCAAGTTTTCCTTTGTATTATTTGTGAATTTGTGCAGGTTGTTTAGTCCTTACTGGCTTTATTTCATCTTTGGCCAGTTGATCTACTTCTCCATAAAACTGCCTATCATTGGCACCGCAGTGAAGCGTCTGGTGTCCAACCTCATCGCTGCAGCTGGACTCAGGGGACTAACAAGAGATGCAGAGGTGTTCTCGTGGTACGAGGGCTCCCAGCTTCACTTCAAGAAAGTATGTAGTTGAAATGTAGGATATCAGTCCA